GATAGAAAGAAGAAGGACGGAAGAGATTATTCATCACGACCCAAACGTTGAAGTCCCTGGCGACTTTCAGGGGCGAGTCTTGCTTTGGAGATGTCTACCAAACGGCAGTAATCGATTTGCTTGTGAGAAAATTATGAGGGAAATGGAGAGGCCTGTCATCATGAACAACTTACCAACCCTACCAATGTTAGATGGAGATGGTGGGACAACACAAAATGCTTCAAATGAAGGGCAGAAGAAAAAGAAAAGACAAAACAGGTGAATAGTCCTACAGAAATAGTATATTGTGCCTCTAGGGAGTAAGGTATTTTCTGACGAATGTGACGTAAATAACGCGAGCCGAAGGGGAGGGTTATTAGTCACATGCATCAGAAAATACTTTACTACCGTGTGGCACATGATATTTTATGCCTCACGGTGGAAAACCGCGATTTAACTGAGCGAAACGAGGTTAGAATCGCGGTTTTTCCTCCCTAGAGGCATAAAATATAAAATTGACTCCAAAAAAATAGGGATGCTTTTTATTTAGTTTCATTCAAAAATGTTGGATCAATTTTTTGTCCACAGAAAAGATTCAGTACTAAATTCTTCTTTTTTTAATACAAACAATGAATAAAAAAAAATCTTAAAAATTTAAATCTTTTCATAATAAATAATTTTTTTCAAACTTGTCGAAACCAAAATTTTGTATTTATCTGGGATAATGATAATATCGAACTGCAGCCCAAATACTTCTCATCATTTTAATTTATATAATTCATGAATTTCAAATTACTCATTTACCTATCAGTAGTGAGGATATATTCCTTGTAATGAGCAATCATGATTTAATTCTTACCTGAAAGAATAAAATCATGATTGCTCATTATAAGAACTATATCACTCTTTGAATATTATTCTGTTAGTAATCAATAATGATGTTCAAATGATTTTCTTCACAGAATCCATAAATAAAAAAAATTGTCTTGGTACTCTAAACAAAAACGTCGTCAATACTTGAATAGATTGAATTTACTGGAAAATCAGTTAGAAATTTTAAAAATTAATTATGAATTTCATGATTTGTAGAAGGAAGGGGAGACGAGGCGTACGCAGGCGAAGGTCAAAACGAATATTGATGAGAACAAAATATTACTGATTCCTGTCGACTCTAAATTTGCTGCTTAAATTGAATCATACATGAAGGATTGAGAAATCTAGCAAAACTAAATAATTCGACGAAATAATTCTAAGAAAGAACTAATAATTCATCACAAATTATTTGTGAACCACACTCCTGAACAACACTTGACTGCATGAACCCCCGAGAAATCCATTTTTTTTTCAATTTCATTTGACATTTTTCAAGTTTCATTTTTCATTACTTTTTACTTGTGGATCTTTTTTTTTCTACTCTTGTGCTTTTTCTCCCTCTCCCACTCATCCAATGCCTTGATGAGACCCTCATCACAACCATCATTGAGCACTATATGAATTATTATAATAATAATCATACATGATAATTCATCGGCTTCACTCATATTATTTTTTATGATGATATCAATTCAGCAAGCGTGAATTGAATGGAATGATTTCCACAAATCACAATCTCCTTTTTAGTCTGTTAGAAAAAAATTATGTTTTTTAAATTTTCTCTCAGATAACTGAAGAATCGCTAAAAAAGTGGGAGAGTCAATGCGTTGTACGTCTCTCGGGTACACATCAGATGTTTTCTTAAAGCCACTCTCGTACATCAATATCGATTGATTCAAATGACAATATACCCATTTTCGTGACATATTTTGTATTTTTAATGCTATCCAATGTTAGAGAATCACTTTATCACCTAATTTTTGCTTTGATAATCAACTCATATGAGTAATTTACTTCAATTTTCCTTAATATACTTTTCGTGTACCTCTTGAGCAAGTAATCATCATATTTCTCTTTATTTTATAGAAAAATTCAAATCTGTTGACTTTATATTAAACATCTCCAAAGAAATGTCACAAAAAAAATGAATAGAATTTTCCAAAAGCAATTCCAATAGAAATTCAATTGAATTGCTGTTGGTTTTTCATTTATTTTTTTGTCATACGTTCACGTGTTAGAATTTTTTTTTTACTTTTATTTAAACATATCGAAATTTTGAAAAAAATCTCCGTGATGATGTCTCAAATTTTGTATGAATTGTCGATTGAATTGATAAAAAAAAAAGAAAAAAGGATCAAAAACCATTATTTTGTCAGCCTTTTCCATTCTATCATGTTACGGTTGTTATTTCAAAGATAGCTTGAAATAATTCAAATATTAATTTATGCATTGTCTTGTTTATGATAACTAGAATTTATTTTGTCTTATGGTTTCGTTGAACATTATTTTTTTGTTATTGCTTCGCATTCGGATTCAATAACTTCTCTCGATTTCATAGCTGTCCGTGCATAAACTGTAATTTGAACTCCTGAATGAACATCCCACTCGAATTCACAGAGATCATCGTAATTAAATACCGTGTTTAATAAATTGACTCGCCGTCGTTTATACGGTATCGCATTCTGGATATGTATCAGCTGAATCACAAAATTATTATAATCATCATTCAATTTTTATCTTTTTCTCTCTGTCAAATTTCATCAACTAACTCTATGATTGGGAAAGCGGTCGATAAATGACTGGATGTAGTCTTGATCATAGATTAAAACTTTCGACAACCTCGATTTTGGTCCAAAATATCCATTGAAAAGTACGAAGCAGAAACACGATGTCCCATCGATTACCTGCCGTCCAATGTTCCCGAAAATCATCCCTGTTAAACTGATTCCAAAAAATGGGTAATGATTATCCATTGTAATTTTTCCATTGTAAATTTCTGAGCGCTCGAGAAGATCATTACTCACGTATTTGGGACACCTTCTTCAACATTGATTGGTAAATGTGGGAATTCTACTCGTATTGCCATCGTTTGATTACAAATATTAAATGCGTGGCTTTTATAACAGACGAGATCAGCGTATGAAGTTGCTCGCAACTCTCTCTTTTTTTTCTCTATAGATTCTCTCAAAATAATTACGAATTTCTGTTGGAGGATGTTTCTACTTTTTCCATTTCTGCACGCTTCGCGCACAAAAAAACGCCTTCTCCTCACCAGTATCATAAAATAGCGTACGATACACGTGAGAAAAAGTACTTCTTGAAGAGTGTGATTACAGACCTCGCCTTAGGCTCGCCCTATAACCCTCACAATCATCGACAAGTACTTTTCGCTATTTCGAGATTCCAGTGATTGAAAAAACAATGTTCACAAAAAACATTCTTATAGATGGTAAAAAATGAAAAATGCATCTTTATCGATCATATTGGATTTTTTTTTCTACCATTTGCAGCACTAAAAGATTAAAAAATTTCTTGAAAGAAAATCTATCCTAAAATTTTATTCTTTCTAGCTATTTTTGAATATATTTCATAATATTTTTTCACTGGTTCCTCATCCATTCACTATTCTTTTTTACACAATTATTGGAACGTTCGTTCTCCCCCCAGACGGGGCAGAAAGTGAGTCCTATCCTCCCGAGGGGAGCGCTTTCCGCCGTAGGGATTCACTTTTCCCGAAGAAGTATGAACTTCCGGGCGGCTACACTGATAAAAAAGTTCACGAAAAATTACGTGACAACTCACGTAATGGGGAGGCGAAATGTGAATCTTGAAAATTTTTACTGAAGTTCGAGAAAAATTGTGCTATAGGATGATGAATTTTACTGAATCCGAACGTAATTTCCACCGAACGGATGATATTTGTGGATTTTTAATGAAAAAGTACACTAGAAATCATAAATTTTACCAGCCACTCACGGAAGATTTACTTTCATTTCGCTATAGTTTTACGTGAGTCCGTTCCGTACTTTTTCTGTTGACCTTGGCCCCCATGTGAACATAAGGGCAGACACAAAGAAATTACGTTTCGACTCGTAATTTTTCGGAAAAGTCAGGACTGAATTATTACGAAAACTACATGAAAATCAGTACAGAAAACATTGGTTTTTGAAAGAATGCAATGATACATCCCGCTTACGTTTCTGAACGCAATTTTCACGCTATTTTCATTAAAATTTTCCTCATTCATTTCTCTACGTGTATATGAAAAAGAATTGTGCAAAATTAATCTTTAAAAAAATATTTTCCACTCAATAAATGAACATCGGTTACTACAAAACGTCAACGTCAACCGAAACGCTTCGTACTAATAATATTTCGGCGAGAGTTAAACAAAAAAAAACCGATGGAGAGCCGGGATTCGGGAAAGGGTTGAGAAGTTCACCAAAAAAATAAATGTCACTGTGCGCGTGGGTAGAGTCACAATAAAAGTCTATATTTCTCATAAAAATGTAGAACTCAGTCAAACAAAACAAATTTAGAAAAAAATAATCACTGTCAATTAATAATCGGTTCGAGACACGGTAGAGATTTTTCACGGTTGAGATATTCACAATATTTTGAGATATAATTGCGGAGCGAGATTTGTACGATGCACACTTGTCACGAGGCGATTAGAGAAGACAGCGGAAGTGACGAGATGGGACAAGTGTCGCGGCAGGTGCCGTCGGTCCCAATTAATTGGACACGGTCGGCAACCCAGGTCCGTGTCCAGGAGGTGCTGCCGCTCGTAGTCAGCGGACCAACCGGCCGTGACGTGAGGCTGAAGCCTCAACATTCTTCCCCCGTCAGCAACTTGGTGGCCAGGTTCTCGAGAAAGCCATGATAGAGCCTGAAACACTAAACAGAGAAGATCAACAAGGCCGACTAAAACCAGCATCTATTCAGCTGGTAGAGATCGGCAACGGAACCAGCTTAGAGATTGGCCTAGTCAGCGACGTCACTGCCGTCTTGATGGTCACAACTCTGGAGAGGCCATCCTTCCCAGGGTGTAGAGCTGTGACACGTGCGAGGGGCCACTTCGACGGCGGGAATCTTTCATCAGAGAGAAGAACCAGAGATCCGATGCGAATATCGTTGGACGGATGATGTCACTTGGAGATGGACTGCAGCTGCTGCAGATATCCTGTAGACCACTGCTTCCAGAAGCACTCCCGCAACTGCTGGATAAGCTGCCATCTAGAGAGCCGTCCAATGTTGAGATGATCCAGTGAAGGTTTCGGTAGAGCTATTAGAGCTTCTCCAATCAAAAAATGCCCCGGAGTGAGACACAACACGTCGTCGGGGTCCTCAGAGAGAGCCTGTAGAGGTCTGGAGTTGAGCACAGCTTCAATCTGGGTAAGCAGCGTAGAGAGTTCCTCGAACGTCAGTGTAGTATTCCGAATCGTTCGAGAGAGATGATACTTCACTGATTTTACCGCTGTTTCCCATTTTCCTCCAAATCGAGGGGCTCCAGGTGGATTGAAAGACCACCGCGTACCGTCTTGCAGACAAACTGCTGTGAGATGTTGGAACTCCTTTGATCCAGCGGAGAACAACCTCTTCAGCTCCTTGTCTGCACCAACGAAATTCGTTCCACAATCACTGAAGAGGTTCCTGCAACGACCTCGACGATTCACGAATCTCTGATAGGCAGCGATGAACCCATCAGCAGAGTAATCGGTGGCAGCTTCCAGATAAAGTGCTGACGTGGCCATGCAAATGAAGATCACTAACCAATCCTTTTGGGTTTTATGACCACGCCCCTTCCACGTCTTGATGGACACTGGTCCAGCGTAATCGACACCAGTGTTAGAGAAGGCACGTCCTGAAGACAGACGTACCGGTGGAAGCTGCCCCATCAGTTGTTGAGCACGTACTCCACGTTGGCAGGCACATTCCACGCACTTGAGAATGAAGGATCTTACTGGCGCTCTTCCTCCAATAATCCAGTAAAACTTCCTGAGATGCGTCAACGTGAGTTGAGTTCCACCATGCAACGTTCGCTGATGAGAGTCCCTAATGAGAAGTTCAGCCAGCTCGGAATCTGTAGGGATGATCGCTTGTTGTTTACTCTCTGGGTGCAGGTTAGAGAACTTCAATCTCCCGCCCACTCGGAGAACACCTTGATGGTCTATGAAGGCAGTCAGTTTGGTCAACGGATGAGACCTCCCAAGTTATTGACCACGATAGATCATGCTGCACTCTGACTGCAGATAATGAGCCTGAGTAGCTCTGACCCAGTACAGCCTAGCTGCCTCGATGCCATCAGGACTGAGTGAATCCACGAGCATTTCACCTGGTTTCCTCCTCATGCGAGCAACAGCACGTTGACAAATTGCTGTTATACGCAGCAATTTGTAGAGAGAGGAGTACCTGGTGATGAGATCCCAGAGAGTAGAGCCCATCGAAATGGTAAATATGGATCCGGGTTTCTATTCCAGATTTGCTGACGGATCCAGTTTGGCATTCTCTTTGGGCCATTGAGAGGAGTCTAACTGCAGCCACTTTGGACCCGTCCACCACAGTTTATGAGCACTGAGTTGAGCCACAGTGATGCCCCGAGAAGCACAATCAGCAGGATTCTCCTTACCGTTGATGTATCGCCACTTCGTTCCTGGAATCAGTTCCTGTATGCTGGCTACCCTGTTATGCACATATTCCTTCCACCGGGAGGGATGAGAGCTGATACACGCCAGGGTAACAGCTGAATCTGTCCACAGGAACACAGGAGCGTTATCAAGGTTGAATTGAACATGCACATACCTTGTGAGTTTCGCCAGCATGACTGCGACGTTGAGCTCAAGTCTCGGGATGGTGAGCTGCTTGAGAGGAGGCACTTTGGTTTTAGCAGTAGCTAACGAGATACTCACGCCATCCGAGCTTGTCACCTTCACATATACCACCGCAGCCATCGCTTTTCGCGAAGCGTCTCAGAACCCGTGTATTTCCACTAGAGCATCCTTCTTCACTCCGAAGCAATGAGGAATGGAGATATTTTCGACCTGAGACAGCTCCTTACGGAATTGGGTCCACTTATCCGAGATTTGTGGTGAAAGCGCATCATCCCAGTCCAGCTTCTCAACCCAGAGACGCTGTAGGAGTGCTTTTGCCCTAATCACCACAGGAGAAAGTAGACCTAGACGGTCGAACAACTGAGCTATCTCAGACAACATATTCCTCTTCGTCACCTTTGAGTTGGCCGGAAGGTGGATTGAGAACTTGAATTGATCTGTGTTTGGATCCCACTTCAGACCAAGAATCTTCGTGGTGGAATCCTCTAGCGGCTTGTGATCCTGGGAGACACCTTCTGGATTCAGAGATCTGAGTAGAGACGGACTGTTGCTATGCCACTTTGCTAGAGGGAAACCACCAGCTAAGCAAAGATCCCTCACTTGCTTGGAGACTTCTAGAAGATCACTCTCCTCTTCAGCACCATCACAGATGTCATCCACGTATCTTCCACTGGTCAACGGAGAGATCGCTAGAGGAAACCGATGTCCTTCGTCCGCGACCAGTTGGTTGAGAACTCTACAGGCTAAGAATGGGGCCGATTTAGTCCCGTAGGTCACGGTGGTGAGCTGGTAGGTGTTGATCTGACCTTGAGAATCCTGCCACAGAATCTGTTGAAGAGGCCAGTCCTCACGATGCACCTTGATTTGACGGAACATCTTCGTGATGTCCGTCATGAAAATGTACCTGCTCCGCCTGGATGAGAGCAGCACTTCTGCAGTTTATCTCCAGTGTGTTGGATGTTATTGAGAGACACCCCTGAGCTGGTCTTACTAGAGCCATTGAAGACGACCTTCAGCTTCGTTGCTTCACTACTTTCCCTGAGAACACCATGATGAGGAAAGTAGTACATAGGAGTTGACGAATAAGCTTGCCTCTGAACAGAACACCGAGTGGAGACACNGATGAGAGCTGATACACGCCAGGGTAACAGCTGAATCTGTCCACAGGAACACAGGAGCGTTATCAAGGTTGAATTGAACATGCACATACCTTGTGAGTTTCGCCAGCATGACTGCGACGTTGAGCTCAAGTCTCGGGATGGTGAGCTGCTTGAGAGGAGGCACTTTGGTTTTAGCAGTAGCTAACGAGATACTCACGCCATCCGAGCTTGTCACCTTCACATATACCACCGCAGCCATCGCTTTTCGCGAAGCGTCTCAGAACCCGTGTATTTCCACTAGAGCATCCTTCTTCACTCCGAAGCAATGAGGAATGGAGATATTTTCGACCTGAGACAGCTCCTTACGGAATTGGGTCCACTTATCCGAGATTTGTGGTGAAAGCGCATCATCCCAGTCCAGCTTCTCAACCCAGAGACGCTGTAGGAGTGCTTTTGCCCTAATCACCACAGGAGAAAGTAGACCTAGACGGTCGAACAACTGAGCTATCTCAGACAACATATTCCTCTTCGTCACCTTTGAGTTGGCCGGAAGGTGGATTGAGAACTTGAATTGATCTGTGTTTGGATCCCACTTCAGACCAAGAATCTTCGTGGTGGAATCCTCTAGCGGCTTGTGATCCTGGGAGACACCTTCTGGATTCAGAGATCTGAGTAGAGACGGACTGTTGCTATGCCACTTTGCTAGAGGGAAACCACCAGCTAAGCAAAGATCCCTCACTTGCTTGGAGACTTCTAGAAGATCACTCTCCTCTTCAGCACCATCACAGATGTCATCCACGTATCTTCCACTGGTCAACGGAGAGATCGCTAGAGGAAACCGATGTCCTTCGTCCGCGACCAGTTGGTTGAGAACTCTACAGGCTAAGAATGGGGCCGATTTAGTCCCGTAGGTCACGGTGGTGAGCTGGTAGGTGTTGATCTGACCTTGAGAATCCTGCCACAGAATCTGTTGAAGAGGCCAGTCCTCACGATGCACCTTGATTTGACGGAACATCTTCGTGATGTCCGTCATGAAAATGTACCTGCTCCGCCTGGATGAGAGCAGCACTTCTGCAGTTTATCTCCAGTGTGTTGGATGTTATTGAGAGACACCCCTGAGCTGGTCTTACTAGAGCCATTGAAGACGACCTTCAGCTTCGTTGCTTCACTACTTTCCCTGAGAACACCATGATGAGGAAAGTAGTACATAGGAGTTGACGAATAAGCTTGCCTCTGAACAGAACACCGAGTGGAGACACGAGCCGACTGCTTCTCTTCAGAGACCCTCAACCCTCCTGAAGCCGAAGCCCCATGTGCCAAGATCATCCCCTCAGATCGACAGCCGAACTTCACGCTCCCGGCATTCCCCGAATCAGTTAAGGCTGGAACATGCACCATGTGTCCCAGATCTTCGTACTCCTTGAGAAAAACACTATATAGCTGAAGGGTCCGTTGATCCCTCTCCATTCTCCGGAACAGGCTGGAGAGACACGCTTTAGCTCGACCATAAGAGTCGCCAAGCTCTGTCGGAGAACGTGCAAGAGGCAGGCGAACCACAAAGCGCCCGGAGCTGTCTCGTGAATGGGTGCGCTGGAAAAACTCGTCACATTCTGCCTCTTCTTTCGTGAGATCACTATCTTCGACTTTTGGGACCTCCTCCTGCAGCCAGAACGAAGTGAGAAAGTCGTAGAGTTCCTCGTTGCTGACTGCACTGTGATTAGAGCTGGCCACCATTTGAATCACCGCTGATGTAGGTCCTAGTACCACCCAACCGAAGATAGTGTGCATTGCTATAGGGAAGTCTGAAGGCCCCTTGATGATCTGTGGCTCCACAATTGATCCGAAGAAATCCGCGCCGATGAGAAGGTCAATAGGTCTTGGCTCCATGTAGTCCGGATCAGCTAACTTCAGTCCCTCGAGATGGCTCCAAGCTTGAGTATCCGAGACTGAGAACGACGGCAACGATGATGTGAGATGGTCAAGAATGTAGGCCTCAATCTGAAGATGTTGGTCTGAGTGCAGAGACTTCAGAGAGAACTGAGAGAATTCCTTTGAGAATGACCTTGATCCACCAATACCAACGACAGATAGCAAAGCTGGAGACTTCAACAAACTTAGCTTTACCGCAAGATTATCTATAAAAAATGATAACTCAGATCCCGGATCCAATAGCATCCGAACTTCACAGCAACAGTCATTCTCTGAAACGAGAGAAGCTAGCGCTGTTGCGAGAAGAACACCTGGTCTGAGTTGAGATGACGATTCATGAACTGATAATGATACAGATGGAGAATCACTTGACAGCGACGGCCGTAGAAAACGTTCTGAAGTTACCGGAGCCGCTGTCGTTGAAGTCGTTGGTTGAGAAGATCACTGCTGCACTGATGAAAGCCCCGGAACAGCGGACTGTATAGGACGAGTACCAGACTGAGACCACTGACCTTGAGACTTCAACTGGTCTGGTTGAGATGTGTCCAGAGGACCATTCTGAGGACGTGTGATGTGGATCATCGAGTGGTGACGCTTGTGACACACAACGCACGTCTTCGTGGTCCTACAGGCACGAATGGAGTGCTTCCCCAAGCAGTTGAAGCAGAGGTACTTCTTTTCGACAAACTCCTTCCTCTTTTCCGGCGACAACTGCTTGAATTTGGGGCACCTATCGATGAAATGCTCATCTTCACACATGGAGCAGGCATTGGCGGTCATGTCTGCCCATGACTGCGAACTCGACCCGCGAGCCTGTGGACCCGCACTGCCAGTTGAGACATTCAGCACCTTTGCTGGCTTTGCTCTGGGTGGCTGAGAGGACACACTCGAAGTTGGCGTCTTGGGAGCGTGCAGAGGATGCAGCTCAATTCTCTCCCTAGCTCTTGCTCTACTCAACATAAACTCCCTGAGTTCCGCGTACGTTGGAAAGGTAGTAGTGGATCCGATCTTAACTTCCCACGCCTCCAACGTCTTAACATCCAACCGGCTTGAGATGATATGCACCAAGACGTCGTCCCTGTGCTCCACAGGGCGCCCCAACGAATTCAGGGCGTTGAGAGCTTCGGTGGTGGAGTTGAGGAGCGCATTAAACTCCTTGGCCGTACGGTTGACGATCCTCGGAGTGGAGAACAACCTTTCCAGCTGGGTAGAGATGAGGAGACGTTCATTGTCATACCTCGCGATAAGCATATCCCAGGCTGGAATGAATGAGTCTTGAGCTACCGGCAGAGTTGAGATCAACTGTTTGGGCTCGCCAGCAAGAGAAGTCAAAAGATAATGGAATTTCTCGACCGTAGAGAGGTTACTGTTGCCGACGACCATCGAGAGGAAAAGATCTTTGAAGGGTGTTTACTCGGAGAAGTCCCCTGAGAAGGTAGGCAGCGAGATCTTCGGTTACTGCCTTTGAGTCACCTGAGCAGACGGAACTGATGCAGCGGGCCGACGAAACGACTCCGAGAGGTCCGCGGTCTCATCAATGGCCTTGATTAGTGCAATGAATGACGTACGAGCCGTGGAGTACCG